TGTTTTTTTTTTTTTTTTTTGTGTGTGTGTGTGTGCGTGTGTGTGTGTCCGATCAGTACGTAACATCCCTGCGACAACAGCTGAGTGCGCTTCTTGGGGAAGGAGTTCATCAATCTTTACCAAGGTTGATATCGTCGCCAGGTTGGCTAACTTAGAGAAATTTAACCTCCAGAGGAGTGTCTTTTGGGTGATAACAACTGCTTCTGCATTCCTGTCTATGCTCTCTTTGTCTTTCTCTGCCGCCCTGTCCTCTTCCCTGTGGCTCGTTTCTTTGTTTCCCCTCTCCTTACATATTGTCTTCCTCTCTCTTCTCTCTTGCATCATTTATCTATTTCATACATGTGGCGCATCACGTGCGCCGCATAGCGCACGCGCACACGTGCTCGCGCACGTGATGCGGCGCAATTATGAATTGAAAGAAAAAATAAATTCAGAAGGGAAGACTGTGGTATCCAAATGTGTGCCTCCCTTTTCAAAATTGGAACTGCACAGAAACAATATAATTTGGTGCCACATTGTACTCATTGGATCTAGCCTCTTTTCTAAAGGGTCCCCTGCAAAGAATTAGCAGGGATCACATGCATTTGGAAGGACATTCGTCAAACTGCTGGAGGGACACGAGCAGGCCAGCAATATATTCTGGATTCGGATTCAGGTCTGTGTTCCAAGAGTTATGGATTACAAACTTACTACGAACACTACAGTAGCTGTCTCAGTTTTTTGTTTTTCCTTTTCTTACGTGCAGTGGCCCTAAGGGCCTCGCTCCACTCATCATCACTTTCACAATAGAAAAACATATGGCTTGTATGGTTCCAGTTTCTAGGAGAAGATTCATTCTACGGTAGTTTTGCACATTGGGTGAGTAGTGGAATGAAGCCCTGAAAAACACATGCCGAGTTAGTATGTCAGCGTGCAAGTGGGCTGTTATGGCATACGGGGATGGGGGCAGCTCGCGCTCAACTTCATCAACGTGGCGAGCCTTGCACGTGAGAGGCACAGTGGAGGTGGAGTTCAAAGAAGAATGAGAAATTTAATGGTTTCAATCTGCCCTTGTTTTTTCTTTTGTTTTTATTTTTGCATGTTATCACTGTGCCCGTTTTTTGCTTTTATTCTTTGTTCCGCAAAGTGCGCTCTTTTAGTTTGTAGTGATGTGACAATATATAGCTGGCCCTATACTAACCCATAACTGCTGAAACACGGACCTGAATTCGAAGCTACACCATATATAGCTGGCCCTCTCCCTCCTTACTACAAGTCCAGCAACTACCCTTCTCCTGTCGACAGGACCCTTGCCAATTTTTGGCAGGGGCCTTTTGAATACCCGGCAGGGTTTGTCTGAATAATGTGAA